AATATGCGACAAAATTATAACATTACATCCTCTCATGGGAATACGCTACAAATTGTTAGTACAAAAGAAGATGTACTAGGAGGTACAAAATGCTTATTCTTGAGTTATTATTAACTTCTATGAGCATGGGTGAAGAACTAGTTTCCTTCTCATAGATTCATCAGAACCACTTGAGACACACAAGACTCATTTATTTTTGAAGAAAAGTGTTCATTTACGGATCTTAAAGACTTTTATGTACATTAAATAAAAGCTGCATACACAACATTCCAGATTCATAACCATATGAAACTCAGCTGACACACACCACCTCTTCTATAAACCTTACATCATTCTTTACACCTAATTTTTGCCTTTTTACAACAATACTGTTTTCCAGCAAACAAACTAACAGTTTAGTATAGTCAAAGTATTCGTAAATTCAGAGTTAAGACTAAGTTATTTGGGGCAGAGACTGCAAATCCCCAGGAATTGTAATCTGTTACAGTAATACAAAGTTAATAAAAATAGCAATCCCCAAAAACATCTTATCTTCACAGTTTCTTTTGGTTGAACTAAGAATATTTCTAAGATTTCTTATTATTATCATTATGTATTCAATTTCTTTCATGCATAACTACACTAAAAAGTCTTTACAGGAATAGAATTTCTGTAAAAGGCAAAAAATTAAGCATCGTATCCATATTTTAAGAAATAAAATGTCAGAAAATAAAAATACTGAAAGAATTTTTTAATGCCACAAGCAACATACAAAGCACCCTGCATATGATACAAAGTATTACTCTCTCTCTCTCTCTCTATATATATACACACACACATAGTAATATACAGAAAAGTAGGATGAAAGAGAGGGAGGAGACAAAAACAACAAAACAAAATAAAAACCATACCAAGGAACACTATTTTCAGCAAAACCTGTACACAAGAGAAGACTAAGCACAATTCACTCAAATTAGCAGAGCAAGTAGACTGGGCAGAGAACCTGAGAGGAGTAGCTTTCATCATTCGAAAACAAACTACAAAATTCTTTCAAAACTTAGTGCCTTCAGAGGCTTTAAGAAAAGGAGAAAAAGAGTGCTTTGATTTCTAACCAATGTTGTCCTTTTAAATAGTGCCCCCTCCTGTTCAAGAATTAAACTGTAACTTTCTTAGTTGCGCTACACAGACACACCATACCATACCAACAAAAGCACGATTTACTTTCGCCAGCCAGTTTTCAAAAACTTAAACCAATCTCAACCACAGAAATAGCAAAAAATAATATACTTCAACTAGTTCTAAGATTACTCTTATCAGCAAAACCAACTTGTGAGTGAGAACAGACAATTTAGAGCTTGAAAACACTCAAAAGCATTAGGAACATTGGGAAACATCCTGGAAATCCTGGCAACCCTGCAACAGCTACTGCAGAGCTAGATACATTCAGTCAGAGCTGTTTGGATTAGAAACTCAGTTTGCAAAACACAATTTCCAAAATGCCACAGATGAGACAGCATCTGGCTTACTTACTTCTAAACTCTTCACCTACATATTACTCTGGGCCTTCTGAAAAATTACACTGTACTTCATTTTACTATCACTAACAATTTGCAGCAGTCCAAAATTTAGAAAGAGGCAATTCCATACAATTATTATTCCTGTCTTTAAGAAAAGTTGCTCAATTCTAGACAAGTTATAAAGGAGCATATCGTTTGACTTCTAAGGAATACATCTTCCAGATTTTGCATTCTGCTACATATTATGTGCCTACTCAGGGGAACCAGTCACCTCCATGTACTTTCTATTAACAAAAAAGCATTTTATGTAATACAGTCCAATCTTCATCTTTAAGCTGTACAAGAATGAGAATGTTGAATGTTTTCAGAATTTCTCACAGAATGTTTCTGCAGTTCTTAAGCACAAAACCAGGTCTGTTTTGCTACATCAGAAAAAAACCAACTTACAGCTGTTTGCTTAGAACTCCAAGAATTTCTGTTCTTTAGAATGAAGAATAGAAAGAATGGGAGACTTTTTATTCATGGCTATGCTTTTTTATTAATGCTGTTATTTTTTATTTCCACTAGAAAAATCCCCAAATCCAGCTTTAAGTTATTATGGGGGCTGGGAAATATACACTCTAGGGAAATATTTGTTAGTGCTTAAAGGCAAAAATCTCCAAAGATTCAGTCCATGAAGTACATGTTCCATTGCATCACACATCCCAGCAGTTTGCTCTGACAAATGGATATACACTGCCCCAGAAGACCAACTAAGCATGCTCTAGCCCAGTTTTATTTATATTTACTGCTCACACTTATGCATAAGGACAGCAGACAAAAACCAAGCATAGGAAGAGGGTATCACCATCATGCCTTCTCTGTGACAGATGTACATTCAGTCCTAGGCTGGTTGCTTCTTTCAACATACTCAAACTGAGGCTTTGCCATTTCCTACCTCGATTTGATTAATTTCTGATTTTTTTTTAAAGGTACTAGAGATTTTGTGTCTTTCTTCCTAGAAGATGCATTGTCCTTAAAAAGATGTTCCTTGTCGCCTGTTGGATGTCCAAGAATTAAGCAACCATAATTTAAAGATCTCAAGTTGTTTTATAGGTGTCTGACAAACATCACTTAGCTCTTAAATCCTAAATACCTTCAACCTCAAATGATCATAGTCCAAGAATAATAATCAAAAAACCTTTAGTTACGTATTTTTTAATGTTTGTGTTTTCCATTATGTATAACTGTATGATACAATTTTGCTGTTTAAAGCTTTGTGAATTATTTTTGTCCAACTTGTTTTGACTGTAAGATGAAAGTGTGCAAGAGGTGGAAGCAGAGGCAAGTGACCTAGAAGCAGTACAGACCTGCTGTTTGATTGTACAAGTACATGGTTAAGAAAACCAAGGCTGACCTGGAGCTGAATTTGGCAAAAGATACAAAGAGCAACAAGGATTCTGCAGCAGAATCGGCAACAGAAAGAAGACTAGGGAAGACACAGACCTACTGCAAAATGGGGCAGGGAAACTGGTGACAAAGGACCTGGAGAAATCAGAGGTATTTAATGCTGCCTTTGCCTCAGTATTTACCAGGAAAGGCGGTCTTCAGGTGTCCTAGGTCCCTGAGAATAGAGGGAAAATCTGCAGCAAGGAATACCTACCCTAAGTGTAGAAAGTTAGGGAGCGATTAAAGAGGGCAGAGAAAAGTATGCATCCTTGTAGGGAAGGAGGCCGACAGCATTTCATGATGTATTAGGAAAAAAGTGTCACCAGTAAGTTGAGGGAAGGGTTCCTTCCCCTCTACACAGCACTGGTGAGGCCACATATAGTATACTGTGTCCAGTACTGGTCTCCCCAGGACAAGATGGATATGGTCTTACTGGAGCAAGCCCAGCACAGAACCACAAAGATGATTAAGGAACTGGAGCATCTGACACATAATGAGAGGGCAAGAGAAGCGAGATTCTTCAGCCTAAACATGAGACAGCTCAGGGGGATCTTAATGTACACAAATACCTGGTAGGAGGGAGTGAGCAAGAGGAAGCCAGAACTCTCTCAGTTGCATGCACTGAGAAGACAACAGGCAATGGACAAACTTGCAGAACAAGGCAGACCACTTTTTTGCTATGAGCTTGGTGGGACACTGGAACAGGTTGTCCAGAGCAGCTGAGAAAGTACTCAAAACCCAGCTGGACACAGTCGTGGGAAACCTGCAGGGGGGTTGGACTAGATGATCTCAAGAGGTCCTTTCCACCTAAACAATTCCACGATTCTGTGAAATTAAATAGTATCTTAACTTAGGCCCTCAATTCAAGTAAGGTTTTTGTCTATTATCAGTAAGCTAAAAAAGCACCAAAAGCTGATGTATAGTATGAATGGAAAAACAGATTTACGAAATCAAAGGTCAAGCTACCTCATATAAATAAGAGCTTGGATAAATTTTTTTATTCTTTTCATCAATTATGGGTACAGCATCTAAACAAAAAAAATGCAAAAAAAAATCACTTGAAAAATTCCAGTTGTGAGATTACATGCACAAGCAATATATGAGAAACACTGTGGTAACTAGCCACTGACCAACCTAAAAATGTATTTAAACAAAGATTCTCAGCAATTCCTGTATATAATTGCCTTTCTGCTCTTATCTTCTTCAGACATTTGCCATCGAAACATGGAAAATACATCACAACAGACTAAAAAGCTTATTAAATTACAACAACACCCAGTAACTAAAAAGTCAAAGCCATTTATTCTTCACAAATTCAGAGGGATAATAGGTCTTTAACCAGTCTAAAAACATTGGTAACTTCTGTGTTTTAATTTAGTTATATTTTAACAGCAGACTGTCATGCACAGAACCTTTGATTTTAATGTTTATTTTAGATTTGGGGGGGGGTGGGGGGGGGGTGTGCTGTTTTATGTTGGCTTATATTTAATAAGTGATTTTTTCATTATTTTTACATGTATGTAGCTCCTGATATTTATACGTCTACTTTCTTTTCATTCTTCTCAGCATTTATACATTACCTACAACTCTTACTATTGCTTACAGTCTGGCTGGTAACTGAAAAGTAACATAAAACTTTCATGAACTGCATAATTCTGAGGACAGGGATTCATCAGGGCAGTAAAGAACACTGAGATTACCAGACTGGAAACATGCAATAGGTAAACTGGTAAAGGAAAACTGTTGGAAAAAAAAAATTAAAAAAATTAAAATCTGAGTTACTGACTAGTTCAAAGCAAAATGCAAGGAGCACAGCCAATCCTGTCTCCTTTAAAGTAAATAGGAGCATGCCAGGCTGGCACGGTAATGCCACTGTTGAACAACTTATAAGCTCTCAACATGGTTGCTGCCTCCAAATTTTTTTATAACTGTTTTTGAATTGAACAGTCAAACTCACTCTTTCAATTTCTCTTAATTGACACCACAATAATATATTTCTATATAACCACATGACTTTTATAACAAGTTGACTGGAATAGAGGAAATAATCAACACAAATAATTGAAATTAAAATACCTGTTATTGAACAGTACACTATATGAGGAGCAGTCTTTTTAATGTCTTCATAACCTAGACCCATTTCAGCCAGTTTCCCAGGGACATAGTTTTCCACAAAAACATCAGACACTGCTGCAAGCTTGAGAAAAGAAAAGGATGAGTAAGATTTATTAATGAGCTTCCAAAAGTTTAATAAATTCTTCATGTAACTTACCACTAATCAAAATAGCTCTAGTCTTTGTGACTAAAAAAAACAACTTACAAATCTAGAGGGATATTTTTTGGCCTGTTAGATTGTGCATCTCTGCAAACTACATATTGGAGATGCTGTGTATCTAGAAAGATGACTGTCAAAATCCTAAAGTGATTACACAAAACTATAATATATTATCGGTATCACATCAATTTCCCAAGACTTGACCACAGTTTTCAGAAAAATCATCACCTTTAAGCCTGCACATAGCCTGAGAAAAAGGGGGGTGAAAGAATGCATCTTTATCCTTCAAGCTTCCTCTGCCTTAGAAATAATTTCAGAAATTGTTTTTAATTTTAAAATCATTGATTACAGTTACTGTAACGGAGGCCATATATCTCACTTCCTGTATGGAGTCCAAAAATTTTATTGCATTAAAATGAACATCTTAAAGTGGCCTCAATAAGAATACAGCTCTCAAGCTTTGCAACATGACTTTTTCCATCACATATAAATGAGTGGCCTAGTTCAAAAATCTACTGAAGTTAAAGACTAACATATTGATGGGCTTTAAATAATGTCAGGGTTTTTTTTTCCTTAGAGTTATAAATAGATATACATATAGATGTTTCAATAGGATTAATTAAGAACTTCTGAAGCATTAGAACTAATGGTATAAAAAAGATACATGTCTCTGGGGAGTTGTAGAGTTTCTTTGCTTGGGGGTTTTTTTTGTTCCCATGAATTTAAGAAACTATTCCCTGACAGGTACACATTTATGCAAACATTTTTAAGCATAATATTAAACATTTACTTTTTAAATTTTATCTGCATCTGATCAGCTACAGACTCTGAAACTACCATGTAGCTGTCTGATTAATATATATAGTATATTAGACCAGCTTCTATAAACTAGTGTCATCACAACAGCAATCACAGTCATTTTTATTCTAGTATATAGGCTGCTTAGTTGAATTTAAGGCCAAAGAAGATGCCAAGCCAGAAAGTATTTAACAGGAAAGACAGAAACTGATTCTTATTCAGATAAGGCAGCACACAACTTAAGAATGGTTTAATTGGATGCATGGAAGAGGCATTAATAACATTTACAGAAACTAAGTTCAGCATATGGTAAAGGTAAATTCTAAAATATGTTACTAAGTATTTTTAAAGTGGCTATTTAAAGAACCTGTAAGACTATAGTAATAAGAGTCTCCAGGCTCTTAATAACCATTGCTGAGCTTCAGTGTAGACAGCTGGCTGGTTTGTTGATTCACAATTCCACAGAAGGGAACAGAACACAACTTTATAGAATTAAAAAAATGGGTATTTGTCACAAGAAGGTTCAAGAAGGTCCAGGTTTCCACATAGCTAAAGCATTTGCTACTAAAAACAGAAGTAGCTCAGACAGATCTACAGCTGTCCCAATCCTCTGTGCAGGACAGCAGATCAAGCCACCAAAGTAAAGTAATGGAAACACAATAGGGTTTGTTTTATAGGTTTTAAAACCTATCCAATTTACAGTGATTGTATGGGCTAAAATGGTGCACATACTATCACTGAAGAGAAAAACTAATTTTCATACAGGAAGAAATATAAATATATGGAAAGCAGTTAACAGTGAGCCAAAAGCATTAGGAAGGAAGACAGGGCTACAAGTAAAACAGAATTTTAAAAAAAAGCTAAATAAATAAAAAAACAAAAGCTAATTAAATACAAACCAAAAACATTAAAAAGACCAACGAATAATTTTGTGGGAATCAGGTAATCATGCAATTATGAAAGAGCAGACCTTTGGACAAGTATTCTGTAGTGCTGTGCCAAAGGAAGAAAAGCAGCCAGGACTCCTGATTAACAGATTCCTTCAGCTCACTCAGTATTACTGAGTGAATTATCATGTGCTTCTGTCATTTACCTGAAGACTCTCTACTCCTTTGTTTTTAACATGATTCCAGATTCTGACATTTGCCCTCTTCTACCTATATGGCATTTATGAGGAAGGGGAAACAAAATTATTCTATTCATGCTATATATACTTCCAAAAACTCTAAATCAAACAGAATGATGAACAACTCCAGACAGAGTCACATTTCAATAATGCTTTATCATTTCAGTCCACGATGTTCCTGCATCACAGACAGAGATGACATTGATTTAATGAATAGAAAGCTGCAGTGGTTATGAAAGCAACTTTAATAAAGCATAGAAACTGGAAGAAGTGACTTGACATCAAGAGTCTGTCCTCATTTTTCAGGTCAGTTCCGCAAACCTTGCAGTTGCTTTCTAGTTTTTCCATGAGTTAATTTTGTCATCACAGATTTTTCCTCACAAGAGAAAGACCATTGTCACAGGAGATCTCCTCATTTCCACAGCCAGTGTGGTAAATATTTAAGAGAGTTAGTTTTCCTACCTGAAATTTCATACCACCACATTTCAGGAAATAATTCTCATACATGCTTGACTATTTCAGTGACAACAAGCTAAGGGAAAAATTAATATTGTTGCTGACATCTAAGTACTCTTACTGCAAGCTATCTTATCTTCAGCATCCTGATAGCTCTACATTACAGTAGTAGAAGAGATCTTACCAGGAGGAAAAGAGTAGAAAGCCCAGCACTGAGCTGACAGGGAGGATTTTGTTCTTGCATGACAAGGGAAAAGAAAAGTTGCTACTTTGATTTCAAAATCATGTGGGATTTGAACTCAATCAGGCACCTGAGCCTCAAGCACAAAGTTTATATTGCCAAATCTTAAGTCACTAGGCATTCAACACTGCCAACAATAAGAAGGTTCTCCATACTGTGGAAGAAAGTTATACATACAAAAACAGGATCATGTGGTAATCTTCCTGCACAAACGTTAAGATGAGAAAAGGGGAACTTCCTAACAACAAATAGTGGCAGTCACATAAGAAGCTCATGCTGAAGCCATCTTTTCTTCAGCTCATTCTGACTCATAGGCCTAGCTGCCGCTAACTCTTCAAACAGGTCCAGCCCACACACTTGGAATCAGTGGACACAGTGTAGAGTAGCTACAAAGTTAGTCTTCTTATACGAGAAGAACACTTTTATAACCCTTATTTAGAATGTGACTAGTTTATCCAAAAACACATCTGTGTTACAACAAGCCAAATTATTCCAAATGACAGTGTCTCTTCCCAAAACCTTTAGAAGATAAACATACAGCTTCCTAACAAATCAACAATAAAAAGTTCTGTTCTGCAAAGAGAAAAGGCACTGCACAATCTTTGGCTTATAAACTCCAAAGATTTCCATATGAAATGTCTTACAGAGCTGACAGGGAACAAAAAAGGCCAAAACTATCAGACAACTTAATCTATTTCCACTTCATGCATCATTCAACAGAAAAATACTACCAGACAAATTCCACTTATTGCAGGCCATATACATTCTGACTGTGAAAACAGAAGCAATATTGTATCAAACAGTAACAGAAGCTATCTCACCTTGCTAGATGAGTTAGTACTGCAGGGCCACAAATAAGTAGCGGGTTTTATGTTTCCCAAGAAGTAAAAAAAGGGATGACAATGCACAAGTTTTACAGGATGTGAAGTGTGATGCTTTTATTACGTTTTCAATGGAAAAATGGTTTACCCTTAAAACTCCATGACATTCTGAACTCAGATACAAAAAAAAGAACAACTAATACTAAATTTGACCTACAGTAAAGCATTTCTCAGAAAGATGTGTTGCAGCTGAAGTCAGGAATACACTGGAACATTGAAAAACCTGCAAATACTGGAGCCCTGTATCTCCTCTTTGCAAACTGCTCACTGACTTCTCCAGATTACTCCAGCCTAAATCTTCTAATGAAATAGTAAATCAAGATCAGATACAGAAACAGTAAAAGGAAAGCACTAGACTGTTAAGACCTTCCCTCACAATGTTTCATCTGAGGCTTCTGATGAAATTTCCATGTAAATTTTGTATCTAAAAGTATTAGAAATTACACTGAACATTGAGACCAAAAGCACAGAGGCTACATATTGTAATCTAACAAATCTATTACATACACACATTTTTAATTACCAAATATCAAACTAATACTTGAAATGCAGACTTTATTGCTCAAGATCAAAAGAATACAAAATAGGCACAGTTTGCATGCTATCAAAACATACCTCTCTGATTAGCTTTGCTCCTTTTGAATCCTTCATGTTGATAGCTATACTCTGGGGACCAAAAAAAAAATACAGCAGTAGTTTATGTGAAAGTCCTTCTGGTGATTATCGGTCTCTTTTAAACATAACCAAAAGACAAGTTTTACACTGCTGTTAAATCAGGTAAGTAAATTTGATACACATCCCACCTCCCATTGCAAAAGAATAATCTCAGCAAAGTATGCTGAACTGTCTCACCAATGGATCAGACAAGCACCAAAACAAGTCTGACAGATGTGCAGCTGGGAGCTGCACTGCAGTCTGTTCACTGTATATTTGCGCAGCATCTACTACTGCAAATACACATGGGACACCAGAAACATTTGTTTGAATGGCAACAGACAGCTCATGCATGTCATGAAACTTATTCTTAATCCTGAAGTTTCATAAACTAACTTCAGCCAGCCAAACTACGGTATGATGCCTGCTTTCCTCCAGCTCGAGCTGATAGCTGATACAGGTCAGGTGAGCCAATGTACCTGAAAAAAATCTGATCCTACAAATAAAATAATCCTTACTTTCAGCAGGGCTCATTTTCAGTGTATTTGCACCAGCAATTGAGGACTGGCAGGACCACTCTTGTTTTTTGAATTTGCCTCAGCTGACCACAGCACCATACCAGAGGTTTGCAGCCTTTTTAGTTCAAAAGAGCTCTTTGGATTTCTCCTGCATTTTATCCATAATGCTAAATACAGCACTCCATTTACCTGTTTATTTCTATTGACACTGAGAAAATAAATACTTTCTGTTCCGGCAAAAGGTGGGCCCCAGGCTCTTGTGTCATCACCAGCTCCTGAAAGAAAAACAAAAATACAAGAGCAAAAAGAATACAAGGTTTTTCTCTGAGGTAATATTTAAACTCCTTAAGCCTCACCTAACAGGACAAAAATCAGTTTCATATACATATTTTAGGATCTTGATGTCAAAAAACCCACCTAAAAGTGAATGGAATTAAGCAAAGTGAACATAGTACTTGCTACTTCTGGGATTATTTTAGGTTTTAAAATACAAATATACAGCCACATACCATCAATGTATTTGGGCTTGAGTGGGTTTTGCTTGTTTTTGTTTGTGGGTTGACTAGGAGGATGTTTTTTGTTTGTTTTGTTTTTTAACTTAAAGCAGATCTACAATACCACTCTTTTAGGCAATCCGGAAGAATTTAGCAGAAGTTCTTGCCCTGCACCAAGTCATACAGTACATGTGGTCAGTAAGCTATTTCTGAAATACTCTGGACACAACATCAAGACACCACCGATCAGCAACAGTTTAAGCTGCACGTTACAGAACATCAACAAAAACAAGCACTTGCTACAGCTGGTGCAATCCCCCACCTTGAGCCCTTCCAGAAATGCTCTTGCCTTACAAAGATTGGTAATCTATTTTAATTAGAATTAAAGCTAAATTTAAATTCAGATATAATCATTGTGCAAGCATGCACACTCCTATATCTATTTCAGTATCTAGTCTTTATCTATTGTTAACTTCACAAGTGGAAACTTTTCTTAGCAAGGCAACACAGAAGACTCCTTGATATTAGCATAGATACAGAAACCTGGCAGACAGCTGTTTGCTCACTACCCCCACAGTGGGATGGTGGAAAGAACTGGAAAAAAGGTAGAACTCATGGGTTGAGATAAAGACAGTTTAATAGGACAGAAAGAGGGAAAATAATAATAATTCTAAAAGAACATTAAAAAGTGATGCAAAATGCAATTGCTCATCACCCACTGATTGATGCCAAGCCAGTCCTCGAGCAGCTGCTGCCAGTCCCACCAGCCAACTCCCCCCAGTTTTATTGTTCAGCATGATGTCACATGGTATGGAATGTTCCTTTGGCCAGTTTGGGTCAGCTGTTCAGGCTGTGTTCCCTCCGAGCTTCTCATGCAACCCCAGCCTTCTCTCTGGCGAGGCAGTATGAGAAGCCAAAAAAAGTCTTCAGCTTAGCATAAACACTGCTCAGCAACAACTGAAACATCACCGTGTTATCAGCATTAGTCTCATCCTAAAGCCAAAACACAGTACTATACCAGCTACTAGGAAGAAAATTAACTCTATCTCAGCTAAAACCAGGTAGCCACTGTCATAATTCTACTATATGCTATGGTAACACAAAGTCTACAGCCGTTTAGTATCAGGTGTGGTAGAAGTTATACAAATATATAAATTACTTATCAATATTTGTACTATTTAGTATCTCAGAACTATTTTGCTTCAAGCAGGAAGCTATGGGGAAAAAAATAATTAAAAAAATCTCCCTTCTGTATGTTACCACTTCAAGCCATTCAAACATAACATTTCAGTAATACTTTCCATGTAGAACACCAGTGTGGCTACTGTCTTTTATGGATTAATACTCCTGTGAAAGCAGGCATTGTCTCACAGAAAGAGCTGATTAGTCATATTCTAAAATGTTTGAAATTCGGAATTCTCAGGCTGCCCTTTTCTTTCAATCACAAAATAAAAAACTCTAAAAGTTGGAATGCAAATCTCCAAAACTGTTATTTCATATTTAATCTGTCATTGCTTCATTCCTACCAACTAGATACTTGGAGTAATACCACTGTCAGTCTCATCTGATAGTATAAAACTGATGCGGCTTCTGCCCTGTCACAAAAGTGAAAACGTTTGAAACAGTGGTGAGCGGTTAAGGATACCCATAAGTTGATGTGACAAAGCTTTTGTTAGACATACACTGTTTTGTTAAATGTTCAAATATTCAATATTTCCTATTTAAAATAAAATATAAGGAATGTAATAAGTTTTAGTATCTCAAGCGTGTAATTATCTACACCAGCTCTTTTCAAAACTAGTAATACCAAAAAAGAGAAACCTAAAACTTGGAAACTTAGAGAAGGAAAAAATACATGACAATGTGCAACTGCTACAGCACAATTACATGCCTCAAACGCATAATGAAGCATAAAACTGAAAGCCAAACATAGGGAATAGTTCTAAAAAAAAAAAAAGAACCAAATGCTGTGTAATTTGTTATTCGAATATGTTCTTAAGAACTAAAAAGTGTAGGTATTTCAGAAGAATGAAACATTTTGTACCATTATCCAATCCTCAACAGCAATTTGTATAAGAAGTGCATGTGTTGAATGGAAAAAGAAAACCATTGTGTTAAGCCAAAATACACAAAAATAAATTCTATTTATGAAGCTAATTATCCAGAATCCAATCAGACTCAGAAGGAGCCATGCAAGTTTCTGCATCTGAAAACACACACTTGAAGCTCATTAACCTCAGCCACTTTCAACACTAGCATGAAGATTTTCATACCAATTCAGAAATCTCCCTTTTCCAATGAACTCCCATCTCCACCTGTACAGGAATATCAGATGCTGACTTTTGGATACAACTGCCTCATGCAGAAATTAATTTTCTGTTCACTTTGCACAATTCCAAAGAAAGATTCCTCTGGCAAGGCAATTTTTGATTAACAACCTGAAACTGTATTAGAATATTTAAGTTATTTTCAGGACAAGGTTGATATAATATGTCAAGTCACCTACCACCTACTCTACCAGTCAAAATGCCTGTCAGCCACATTAGATTTGTATAATACTACACAAAAGCAGTTCTAACAAACAATGTACATATGACTTCTCTTCCTTGAAATAATAAAAATGAAAACAGAAAGTAGAGTTTCTCTTGACAAAACTAAAGTTCCTGACATTTTATCAGTATTCTAATCCTGAGTAGCAAGATGTACTCTTATTTAAAATTATCTAAGACATTTTGGGTCAGAGGGAACTGAGCTGAAGGTTTTGAATTCCCAAACAGGAAAAAAACCTTTGCCATAATTCTTATGTAACTAGTTGTTGGAAGGATTTGTATGTTTGTCAAATTTTGCATGTCAAACACCACACTTAAAAATACGTTTCAACCCTCTCACCACATTACATCATACACCTAAGCATTTGCTAGCCCCATTTAAAATCTAGACAAAATCCAAACAATTCAAACAAAATCAATTTATAGTGGATTTTAGTTAGGAGTTGGTCCAGAGGAGGGCCACAAAGATGATCCAAGGTCTGGAGCACCTCTCCTATGAAGAGAAGCTGAGAGAGCTGGGGCTGTTCAGCCTCCAGAGGAGAAGGCTCTGGGGGTACCTTATAGCAACCTTCCAGTACCTGAAACATGCCTATAGGAAAGCTAGGGAAGAGGGCATGTAGCAATAGGATGAGAGGTAATGGTTTTAAACTAGAAAACAGTAGATTTAGGTTGGATATTAGGAAAAAGTTCCTGAATATGAGGGCGATAGATCAGTGGAACAGGTTCCCCAGAGAGGAAGTGGAGGCCCCATCCCTGGAGACATTCACGGTCAGGCTTGATGGGAATCTGAGCAACCTGATCTGGTAACATTGTCCCTGCTCACTGCAGGTGGGGTGGATCAGACGATCTTTAAAGGTCCCTTCCAACCCAACACAATCTATGATTCTAGTCATGGAATCCATGGAGTGATGGAATAAGGCACTTTAGTAAGGGATGACTCAGTACTGTTTTGTACATTAATATCTGAAAGTTACCTGACCTTAAGATTTCAACTTTCCTACAGTCTATTCTAAATAGAGACATAGACTACTTCCAACCAAAACACCCAGATGGAGCACTATGTTAAACTTAGAGTAAACAGATATATATGTATGTATAAGAAAACTTACTAATAACTTGTATTGGGTTTTCTGTGAGGGGTTTTTGGTTGTGTCTTTGGTAATGGGGGAAGGGCTATGGAGATGGCTCTTTAAGAAGCTACCTGAAAAGCTCCCCCTTTTCCTTTGTCAGACCCACCTCTGACCAGGGCCAAGCCAATCTGTGCCCCTGCAAATTCATGTATTTAAGGGGGCGTGCAAGGCATGCCTCTCTCTCTCTCTGGCACTGGCCCAGACCAGCACAGCACCAGGTGCGGGTGGCACGGCTCCAGCCTCAGCCCTGCTCAAACTCAACTTAAGCTTAAGCCCTGCTGCAACTCCATACCAAAAGAGAGCTGGGAACTCTTCAGAGCCATCAGAAGAGACCAGCAGCGGAGAAAGGAGTGGGACCTGAGGAGAACAACTTTTAAAAAAAAACCACCCAGGTCAGTTGAAGGAAAGAAAGGAGAGGGGGGAGGAAGACAATGTAGAGCCCAGGTTTCCCTTTTGCAACCAGTGGCGAGAGCCAGGTCGACTGGCCTGTAGCCCGTAGAGTTCGCCAGTGAGGCTGAGCCACATGAGCAGGTGGCTGACCCTGAAGAAGCTGTGTCTCCAGGCAGTGTGTGCTGGAACAGTTTGCGTGTGAGGGAACTGTGACTGTGGGCAGACCCAGACTGGAGCTTTGTGGACTTGGGCTGAAGCAGTTTTGTGCATGAGGGAAGCTGCAGCTGTGGGCAGACCCATATTGAACTTATGAGGACTTTTTCTCCTGTGGGAAAGGCGCCACGTGGAAGCAGAGAGAGAGTCCTTTCTAGCCCTGAAGGACCACGCGGCATGAACTGACTGCAACCCCCACTCCCATCCTCCTGCACCTCAGGAAGCTGAGTCCGGGAAGAAGGGACAGGTGGGAGGAAGATGTTTTGACTTTAAGATCTGGTTGTATCTCCCATTGTTTTACTCTGATGTTGGTAACAAATTAAAATTGTTTTGGTTTTTCCTCCTTATGAGTGTCTTTTGCCTGTGACCTTTTTAAGTGATAAGAAGCCCTCCCAGTCCTTATTTTGACTAGCCCCTTTTTTTGAGGGGGGCATCGTGGTGCTCAGTTACACACTAGGCCTAAACCACAACATAACTAGTTCTCTAACATGCAAGAAATAGTTCAAGGATGTACAGTGTTCCCAGAACTTGAAAATTGCTGGCTCAAAATAACCCCAAACAACAGCAACAAAACTCAAATAGCTACAAAATTCATTATTTCTTAGCACAATACCATATACACAGTCACCAAAAACACCATCCCAAATAAATATAGTATTGTGTCTCATTATTTCTTAAAGTTTTCAATCTTGTATTCTTAGTCATGTGTTACTTAAAATACATAAACAACTATTTGTTAAACTACCCTTCATTCTTATTATAATTAAAATAAAGAAATAAAAATCTTACCTGGTCTTTCCACTTTGATAACTTCAGCCCCCAGATCTCCTAAATTCATTGTGGCAAATGGCCCTGCAAGCACCCTGGAATAGTAAAGATTGTTTTCTTAGTTTTTCCTATCAGAATATTTGCATCTAGACTAGGCAGACTGGTATAGACAAATTACAGACAAAACACGAACCTTGTTAAATCAAGAATTTTCACACCATCCAATGGCTTTACATTACCAGCATCTGACAAGAAACAGAAAACAGTAACTTACTCTTGATTTTTTTTTTCAAAAGGTATGTTTCTTATTGGTAGTCTGAAACTGTCCTTTTATGACACTCTTCCATCATCCTCCCTCCTCTCCCTAAATAAAGGATAAAGCTTTCTGCACAGGTAGGTTATTAGGAGTTACATTACATTAGCAAAGCCTTTCAAAGTTGGAAAACCTTACAGTTAATGTCACAGAACCTATTCTAAATGCATAGCAATTCTACAATAAAGCTACTTTTAAAAGATACTTTGAAAAATGAGGTTATAAAACTGAAGATAGAATATATGAACAAAGGAAATACTCATTCTATCTTTAACTTGCAATGGCAGTCATACATGGATGTAACTGCTAGGAAACTACAATGTTTTCCTCCTTTCCCTCACCCTTTCCAACTTGGCTAGTTCTAAGAAACAACAGCAATGGCAATAAGAGTCACAGACAGAGCAAACAATCTCATTGTCTAGACCATAGCTTTGCCAGCTATCTCTTGGGTGACCACGGGTAATGAAGCTATCTTCTGCTAACTCAGTGTCTTCAATTGCAGGCTGCAGATGCAAATACTTCACTACCCCACACGGGTGATAGTTTCATTATGGTTTGGAAGGTGGTCTCGCAAAAAAAAAAAAAAGCATCTGGCCATTAATATCACAAAAATTACACAATAGTAACTTGGGGTAAGCACCTCTTTTTCGTGTTTGCCCAGGTAAGAGAAAGATATAAAACAAGGGGCAGGAGGGAAGGAGAATTAATTCAAGCATAGACTTCCTTACAGAATAGGAAGGAGAAAAGAACCACAGACCCTCAAATTGTGCAGGGCAGCATGGTGCATCTCCCATGTCATGCAACAGCAAATGCCTGTGTCACCTGCTCCACACTCCCTCCATCAGACCTGAGTCACCCTTCAGTCACCCCCATAACTCTCCCTCCTACTTTACCATATATATGGTAAGAAGGAGATGGAAATAGGTAGATATATAGAATTCAAAAAGTTAGAGATATGAAGCAGCATTGGGAATTCAAAGCTTCTGCTAAAATGTTTTCATGCACTGTACTACTCTCAATAAAAAATACTTTCATCCTATTCTTCAATCTCAAGACACTTTCCTCAATTAATACCAACCACTCCAGAGATATTTGAGTTTAGTGGGTTTTGGTCTTTAATACAGATCAAGTAGCATGTTGAAAATGTGCTAGGAGTGGCCATGTATTTTACATATTTCAAAGCCTTTAGGGTGCCACCCTAAAGCTTCAGGCTGCCATTTCTCTTCAATGCTGCACACCTCAGTGAAAGTTCTAGGTGTTGGAAAATACCTGCACTAGTGCCAGGTAAACACCACAAATTCTATACAGTAACTTAAATTTTATCAAGTTGGCTCTAGCTGAGCAAACACTTAAGCATATGCTTGTCTGATAAAGAACTGAGTGCACCATTTGCTTCACAATGGCATTACTCTGCCTTTAGAGAAAATATATAAACAACAGCTTTACTGAAAAGCACAGCTCCCTAAAAAAAAAAAAATTAGTTAACAAAGGGTCCTTCTTCCTCTATTCTTTCCACATCTTTTAAAGCTGCACCCTCTTACTTAATAGCTCACTTATTCTCCTCCTGAGCCAGCATTTAGTGTTACTTACCTTTCTCACAGATAAACTACCAGAACAGCAGTAACTTTTCAGAGCCAGTAAGTTCTCCACCTGTGGCTGAGCTGCAGGAATCCATAAAGACATTTCCCAAAAAAGCCTATGAAGTGTTAGGATTAGCCTGTAAATATGCATTTATGTGTAACTAAGACTGATAAACCCTTATGATTACCATATCACTCACATCACGTTAATATCTAACACTCCATTTTGGGATTAGAACTCTTCTATAGTTGAAAAAAGAGAGCACAAATGTTGTTTCAGAGACAGACCATTGTTGGTTTGTTTTTTGGTTTTTGTTGGTTTAAAAAAAAAAAAACAACCACACACCACACAAACAAAAACTGAGGAGTATGAAGTTAGTTTTGGAATCTTAGAAAAATCAGGCCTAGAACTGGATAGCAGGCACTTCCTCACTGCCCATCAACTGAAGCTTCTCGGAGAGCTGGCCCGGTCCCTGCCACACGCCAAGCAAGGCTACTGGCAGCGCGGTACAGCCGCTGTGCAAAGTCCGGCGACAGTGACACTCTGCAAAACCCCACAGCCCAGCAGGGAGCAGAGCAGCGGATCTAAGCTTCAGAAGAGGCCGCATTGGCCACATGCCCGCCCG